CTCCTGATTGCAACAACCTTTCAGGGATGATCATGAGCAGCCTTGTGGTATTTAGCATCCCTCTCATCACTTGTGGATGCATCCCGTCCAGGCCCCTGGACTTCTGGATGTCAGGTTTACCTAGGTGTTCTCTAACCCCATTCTCCTTGACCAAGGGAAAGTCTGTCTTCCAACAGTCCTTTTTCCTGGTTTCTTGGGTCAGAGATTCCAGAGGTCTCAACTTACCAGTGAAGACCAGTGCAAAGGCAGCTTTCAGTAATTCTGCCTTCTCTGTATCCTCTGTTATGAGGGTCCCCTCTCCATGTAGTAACGGGCTCACATTTTCCTTAGATTTCCTTTTGTTACTGATGTATTTAAAAAAACTTTTCTTTTAAATACATCCCTTGCCCTTGACAACCTTGGCCAGATTTGATTCCAGGTGGAACTTGGCCTTCATTTCATTTGTAGTCTAACAACCTCTCTACATTACTTCCAAGTGGTCTGACTGCTTCCATCTCCTCTGCATTTCCTGCTTACACTTGAGTAAGTGTAATGACAGGAGTTTCTTTTTATCCATGCAAGTCTCATGACCTCTTTGCTCAATTCTTTGCTCACTGGGGTGGTTTGTTCTTGAGTCTGGAGAAAGCGATCCTTCAAATTAACCAACTCTCTGGAACCCTTCCTCCCTGAAAGCCCCATTCCCACGGGATTCTTCCAAGAAGATCCCCTGAAGAGGCTAAAGGTTGTTCTTTAGTCCGGAGGAGGCTGAAGGTTACAATTTACTTGCTGCCCTGCTTCTCCTTGTTCTACACTAAACTTCACAATCTCATGGTCACTGCAGCCTAAGCTGCCCCCAGCCTCCACATCTCCAACAAGGCTTTCCCTGTTTTCTAGTGAAAGGTCAAGGAGCACACCATTTCTTGTGGGAACCTCCACTATCCGTGTCAGGGAGCTGCCATCAATGCTTTCCAGGTTCCTCCCATCCTGTTTGTGCTTCGCAGTGCTGCTTCTCCAGCCATGCCGGGGTGGTTGAAGTCCCCCCAAGAACTGGAGCCTGCAGCTGTGGGGCTGCTCTGCGCCGCCTGTACAAGGCCTCGTCCACTCCCTCCTCCTGACCAGGAGCCTGCAGCAGCCACCCTCACCAGTGGCACTCTTGCTACTCTGCCCTTTTACCCTAACTCATAAGCTCTCAATTTGCTTATTCATCCACCCCAAGACAGAGCATGATACATTCCAAGTGTTTTCTCACATAGAGGGCAGCTCCACCACTGTGATTCTGATGCATTTACATACATCCTTTATCCTTGAAAGCTGAACACCCCAAATGTTACACCAAGTCATGAAGACTTGCTTAGAACACCACAATTTGCCAAGTCTGAAAATCTTGATGGAACAATTGCAAGTTTAGGACACAAATATAAATTACATAAATATTTATAAATATTTCTATAGACAATTATTCTCATAAGTGTAATATTATATTAAAAAACACTGCAAAATACTTCCCTAATTAGCTCCACATCTAGAAGGATTTTTAGAGATACTTAAAAGCAGCTTGCCTCCTGTGAAAAAAATTGAATACCAAAAAAAACCCAGCTGATTTTACATTATTTTGTCTATATACACCTTGAATTTCAAAAACCATGTTTTTCTGTCATTACTCTCTCATCAAGTCCAAGATTGCAAGAAGTGAAATGGACTGAACTATCATTAAATTACAGTAAGGCAGGTATAAAACTTCTCATCAAAGGTGAAGGTTTCTCAATGCTTAAAAGTAGCACTTAAATGAATGGCAGATGACAAAATATGAAACAGGAATAGACCTAGATGATGGTAGTAAAAGGCATTTTATAGTAAGACTCTTTTATGCTTGGATATAATCTCTGTTGCTGAAAGTCCAACTCATCACAGCAGCTTTAGTGATCACTGATATCTTTGCCAGTCCTCAGTCTAGCATTCAGAATATACCAGACTAGCAGAGCTAAATATGCACAGCTGCAAATCCTTTCCCCACTGTTCCTCAGGATTAACCTATCTGTAAAAGGGATGCTGGAAGCAAATGCATCCCACAAATGCTGTCCCATGTAAATTGCTGAAGAAAAAGTATTACCACAAGTAGAAACAGAACTTTCCTTTTCAATAATTTTCCATTCAAATATCCCACCTAAGAGGGAAAGTCATTCTACACCAAGTTTTTTCCTCCTCCCATGCATTTGAGGTGAGTACAAAAAGAAGGCAAAAGCTATTTCTATTTTTGTCGAAAATTAACTAATTTGATGAATGGCCATGTGTAAAATAAAGATTAACTAGGAGTACCTGAGAATGAAAAAGTACAGAGAAAGGAGAATAAATCAGTAAGACAATGTGATCATTTATGACTGCTATAGCATTGGCTTTCAGGTTAAATTTTTCCATTAATATTTTGAATCATATAGAACAGGGATGAAAACTATTCTCTTTTACCACCTGAAATATAAAGCATTTATCTCTGGAATTTCTGTCACGTAACTGTAATTGTAAAACTTGCCAAACTCAGCACTAGACAAATACCAGCTATTTCAGCCTGATTTCAAATTCTGCTCTTGAGCTCCTATGTACTAGAAATTTATATAAGTTTAAAAAATATCTTCACGTTACACTCAATTTGCATTCATATTAAATGCTAATTGTCCAGAAGTTTTTATTTGGTTCAAAGTATAATGCAGAAAAAGTGAATATGGCCATGAAAACAGTCTAATTCATTTTTCTCATTAGAGTTTGACAACCGAATCCTGTGAAGACTGCAGATAACACTTTCAGAAAGGGACCTTGAGGAGATCTTGTAAGGGACACAGAAAAAATAGATCAGACACTTAAATTTTAGTTTTCAGACGGTTCAGTGAGAAAACTTAGGGAAAATAAGGACAATGTTAACAATGTTTCCAAGGAAAGGGCATGAGCTTGGCATGACTGCCCACTCTTATTTCTCAATAGTATGAGGTAGGAGAAATCCCTTCTGAATGGGTGTCATACCTAGAGCCACGTAATACTTTGCAACCCTTACCTAAATTATCATCTGAATTATACTTGAAATTCACTTACTTTTACACATTAACACTACCTCTACAACCAAGATAAACTGTCTTTCTTGCCACAGTCCTGGGAATCACTTCTTTCTAGGCTCTATCCGTTATTGTGATCACTACTGGTGATGAACCACAACCATGAAACTTGATTCATTTTATATGCAGAGGATGGATATCCCAGCTATGCCTCCTCTGCAAGATCTATTACTTTCCAGAATTTATTTCAAAATTTGGTTGCTTAAATATTATCAAAGCTTGTATTCCTGCCCTGTCTTCCACCAGGAAATACTATTTAGGGTATCCATAAAATGTAGGAGCAAAAGGCATCAAAATCAGCCCAAATCTTGATACTAAAAGGAAGAGGCAGACTTGGGTTGTTCAGAGAGGGTTTTTGTACTGTTTTAGGTTGGAGATTGAGAATGTTGGGTGGGGGGTGTCCTGCTGTATTTTGGGTCTTGATCAATACATACACAGATTTGATACAGTATTTTCTCAGATGTACCAAGCTTGTGTTAACTCAATCGAGAAGTAACCTGGGACTATGTAGGATAGAATTTTGATTCTTCTTCTATGAGATTCATACACAAGGCATTTGAACACATCGAGTCCATAGCAATCATGTATAATTACATGCACAGACGCTATATACTGAAGTCTCATTATATTTTACTATGAGTCTTGCAACTTATCAGCATTACCAGCAATGCCTGCTAAAAAAAAATACAACTGTGTTTTCTCAGTGAAGCAGAAAGTATATGCAAAGCTGATGAATGAGGCTTATACTTATCTCAGCAAACCAACCTCAAGTGGACATGCCTGTCACCGATCAACCTTTTAAAACATTTTAAAGAGCAAGTCATGTTCCACAGAATTCCATGGACAAGTACTTAATGCTTTGAATTACTAAAAGCTATTTCAAATTATTTTATCTGTGATACTAAACAATTTATATAAATATTTACTGCAGCAGGAATTAAATATTTACATATTATAGAGGCAGACTCTCTAACATACTCACATATACACACACAAATACCCGTTATATGCTTTTGCTTCTAATTCTTAGCAGACTATCACAAACCCACTTGATGTCCCCAAGTGCCAGATTTTAAGTTTACAGGATGCAATACAGCAAGCAGACAGAAATACTCTCCCTTGGCCCACTCTGAGGAGGCTGCCATGAATTGTGCACTCTAAGAAACACCAGCAAAGTTCATGAAATTGATTTTACAGTGTTAAATTAAGCACATGTATTCCAAATTCAAGAACACTGTTTATATGAGGAAATGAAATACATTACTTAGGGATGTTGATAACTTAGACACCCTTGCTGTACTGCTTATGCAAAACATCACCAGTTTATCTAATGACATTACCAAATGGTCACACAGAAGGTTCCTCTATAGCTTAGAGGCACCACAGGCTTTGAAAATGCAGCATAACTGAATCTTGGTTAAAAAAAGCACGCCAGACGTGCTGGCGCTGATTAAGCTCCATCTGTGCCTGAAAGAGAATTACAGTGAAATAAGTGCCCATCAAGTGTTCTCTCAGTCAGCTCAATGCCCTTGATCAGACATTCTGTCTGATACACAAATGAAGAAAACTTTGGTGTATCAATTTACTCTTCAAATGCTTTCACTGGGAAACACTTTTTCCTTTTTTTCTCTTAATTTAATGGCCTAGCAATATTTGGTGGAAGAATGCCTTAATTTTGGTATTTATAGACGTTTTTTCTTCTATTAAGATTATAAATGCCGTAATAAAGTATGTATAGCACTGGTCAGAAATGCAGTTTTTATATTTATGAATGTAGGTATGCACAGAAGACCCAACAACTGATAATTACTTGTATTTCTGTTACCCAATAAAATCTCTTGCACTCCAATACAATAAGGTGTCCTCTGCAGAAGACATTAAAGTGTGCAGCCAAAAGCACAGAGATATAGAAGCACTTACATTTGCACTGTGATCACTTCCACTAACACAGACGACATCTTGTTTTTGAATTGTTAATACCTCTTTTGTAAGCTTCAGTCGGATGTCATAAGCATTTTCAGATACTTCATCATACAACAATGCAATACCAGTTTTAGTCTGCAAAAAAGAAAGGCATACACAAAAATTTAAGAATATGAACATTTCATAATGGTGAATAACAAGCTCTATGCCATTCAATAAATAAAAAGCATACAAATGAGCCTTATTTACAGAAAGCGGAAAACTGGTATGCTTTTCAGTCTTCAAATTGATTAGACTTAAAAAGCCTCTTTTGTACTGGAAAGTACAGGATAAGTGGTCTTTGAAGTAGACATTAATATGCAAAGAGCAAAAAAAAGTACAAAATTTTCTCCATTATATTGTTACATAAAGAAGTGTTGCCAATTAATGATGTCCTGTTTGCCTTTATTTATACAAAGATTTATGAAAATGTATTAGAAAGAGATAGGTATGTATAAATGTAAGTGAACACATTTTCCATTTTTGGCAAGAAGTGGGGAAGTGAAATATTGTTCCTGTCTTGAAGATGTTCATTCCAATCTGACAGAAAAAGAACTGTGCCCCTCATAAAAGTTGCCATTAAGATACAGAGTTCTGTTACAGTAGAAAACTATGTTTTCACATTGTAAAACGTAATCAAACCCAGTTGTAACAGAATTTATTTTGCTTAGGATAAGGTGAGCATGTATTTCTTAAGTTACATCATCACTGGACTAATAACTAGTAAACTCCATAGGATAGCCAACTATTTGGTATAAACAATGTTTTCTCCATTACAAGTAGAAAAAAAGCTTTATTTTAATTTCTGGCTTATTCCCTTAAATTTCCCACTATTCAGTCAGATATTTCCTTCTCCAAACAAAAACTGTGGTATTAGGACCGCTTATAGGTATTTGTTAAAATATGCACACAAATGAAATTTCAGATCTTTACATTCACTGCACAGAAGATAAAAACACCTGTTCTGAGTGGTCATATTTAAAAGTACTATTTGCTTGTTAATTTATAATGTATATTACAGCACCATCACAGCACTGCACTTTATGTAAGTGAGGAAAAATCAAGCATGATTTAAGTTTTAGCTGCAGCATTTGTTTTTAAATGAAGATTTAAAATCAAGTTGTTCACCTATGTTTTCTTAAATGGTAGACTATATAAAAAAACAGAGTAATGGAATTAAAGAAAAAATGTGTCCTGTGTACTGAATGAAAGCTTAAGGGATTTAAAAATAAAATTAAACATGAAAAATTAGCTTCAGAATATTTTCATTTCTATAAAATTAGGGAGAAAGGTCTGTAGTGATTGTCAATAAACTTTTCGGTCTTTAAAAACAGGATCAGGTTAAGCTTAAAGCACTTAAAATTAGTGTAGCTCTATGCTGCAACTGAATGTCAAAACCCCCCTTACAGTAGAAGTAGAAAATGCAATCTAGACAGCAATTAAATGTAGGTCACTTCTGCCATTTAAGACACTGAGATATCCTAAGACATCTGAGCATGTAAAAGTGACAAAGGATTTTTAGGATATCCAGGTCTTTTGCTAGCTGGAGGCAAGACCAGATTTCCATGTTTATAATGAGATACTAACATTGGTCATGTCAGCAGACATCCACATGTAGGTATCTTCAGCCTGTCATGGATGTCACAAAAGGTTTACAGTGCAGAAATCACAGAACAGCTTGGGTCTTTAAAATCATCTACTTCCAACTCCTTGGAAGAACACCTTCCACTAAACCAGGTTGCTCAAAGCTCAAGGTCCAACCTGAGCACTTCCAGGAATCGGACATCCACAGCTTCTCTGAGCAGCCTGTTCAAGTTCCTCACTACCCTCACAGTGAAGAATTTCTTTCTAATATGGAACTTAAACCTATGCTTTTTCAGTTTAAAGCCATTCTGCCCTGTCCCATTACTACACACCCTGTGTGGATGTAGTGTGGGAAGACAAATCTATTCAGTGTTTGCTGGGTATGTCTAAGGGAAAGAAAATTCAGTCATGGTATAAAGCCTTAATCATTCTCGCTTGTTTGGAATCCAACATTTCTTTATTTTTCCAAGACTTTGAGTCTTTTCACATTTTCAGCATGTGTGAATGTCTTAGCAATACATTTTTGTGAATGACAACACATAAAAACTATGCAGTACCATATGCCTAAAAGCCATGCTACTAGCAGGAAGTATTTCCAAACAGTAGAACTACAGACTTGAAAACCCACTGTCCCTGAGTTTTGCTGTTGTTCAGATGTTGAGCATCACTGTCCCACCTGGACTGGTGACTTTTGCTGTGTACCAGAGCATGCTTTACAGGAACGCTGCAAGAATGGAGCTCTGGAGCATTTTATACAGCTTACACCCAGAACAATTCTCTTGCTAGAAATTGTTACATACGTTTAGAAGAATCCGCATGAAAAAAACTCTGAACTTTAGTTTGTAACAGATGATCAGGTAACAAATGAAATAAGCAGAGTGACTTGTTAAATAGTTTAGTATTTGCCATCACACTATTTCAACCAAAGTCCCACTGAAGCTCATCTATTACTATTAAAATCCAATAGGTACACTACACTTCATCTAACTGCTGATGTCATCCAAGATGACGCCCAGCAATACCTTATTTGCTTTCAGAATCAATAAGATTAATCTGGATTTCTCTCAGCCTTTAAAGTCAGCTTTTTTTGACCATTATAAATAGCTTTGAATCAAAGTTCAGCACATTCCCTTGTTCTGTATTTGTGTTAAAGAGATGGCATACACAACTCTAGCAGGCAAATCTCAGTCCAGACAAAAGTGTCTTCAAATAAGAAACTTTAAATGAGAACTCAGTCTTTGCATATATATGCATATTTTGCATTTTAACTAGCTACATTCATCTTGATTTCTCATTTAAAAACTGTCTATATAGTGGCCATTCTAAATAACTGATATAAAAATCTGAGGACTGAAAAGTCAAAATAACTCTCCAAAATTATATAGTATTGTTAGAGCTCATGCGTTTTGTAATAAAAAGCATGCAGAAAGTTCATAGGGAATTGCATCTCAATAGGATTTCAGCATTTACATTGAGAGGTAGGGGAATACAAATTTTAATTCACTTGGGCAGAAGAAGAAATCAAATGTTGATTTTCATGTCTCTTAGTTTTCTAGACACTGGCTTCAGGAAGAGGAGTGTGTGGGTGTTCATGTGCATGTTCACCATGTGGTGGGAGGAAGAGAAAAGAAGATCAGTGGTACAAGCATCACAGTAGCTGTAGCTGTGACTTTTAAGAGAGCATAGACACTGCTCTGTTTTTGAAAAAAAGAAAAAACACGGAAACCTACTTTCTCAAACCAGCTCAAAAACTGCCAATACCACAGAAAACATTCCTCTGTAGGGGAAGCTAGAATGGCAGATGAATCTTTTTATCAGTTTTATTGTTGACTACTTAAGCAGGTCCCTAGCCAGTGTATTTGCCTTAAAGTACTCCCTGTTCAGCCTAATGTTTTGGACCCTACTCAAAGTAACATGACTCTTTCAATCTGCTATATCTGCAGTTTAAATCTCACAGCTGTAAATTGTGTTTCAAGACAGGCATCTCTACAACAAACTTCAGTTTTACTGGCATAAAATACTTGTCTTCACTGCTGTTTTATTTTGAAATAGCTTACAAAAAAATTCCTGTGCATTGAGTTTCTTTTGTTCTCCAGCAGAAAACATCATTTGCTGATCTTTAATAAACACATCTGTAGCTTCAAGTGTACTGGAGTTCAATTTTATCTGCTAAAATTCATTCATAAATGACCTCTCTTTATTTGTAAATAAAATTATTTAAGCACTATATTTGAACATTTTTTTCCCATTGAAATGCTTCATTATATTTTTAAACTAATATTTTATCAGCAACATTTATACCTCATAGGTCTAGTGATAAAATTCTCTAATCCAATTTCATTTTTTTAAGTGTAATTAACTCAGTGGTATAGTATAGTTGGAAAACTTGCTGAAGACACATAAGAACTGGAGTCACTGATTTTTATCCTACATCATTTAAGACTAGGAAGAAATAGAACATCAGGCAGTCCCACATAGTGCCTTGAGCACTAAATTACAGCAGGCTCAAATCTACTTTCTCTCTCACGACTGGTTTGATGTTCATTGCTTGTCATGATCAAAAGAGAAAGATACTTTCTCAGGGAAATTAAAATTTAAAATATCTTTGACTCACAAAAAAAAATTTAAAATGGAATTAAATATAAAAGGAAAAAAAGTGCAAGGTGTTGCACTACAGGAAGAACAGTCATCTGTATGGAAGAAGAAAAGCTCTTCATCACCATGTCCTAAAGAATGGAAACAGGTATGTAGGACTAAGGACTGGCAGAACAATATGGGCATCAATATTTTGTTGTTGCAATAAAAGCACACGCATTCTTTCTTTATATTCTTTCCAACTGATTTGTTTTTTCTCAATCTTACAAGACAGTACTTAAAAGTACAAATCAAAGTAAAGTTCTTTAATTGGGTACTAGAGAAGGTTCCTTAAAGACTGCTGAATGTGAGGGAACAAAATGTCATGCCCATGAAGTAGTCCACCACCAGTGTTGTGTTTAATACATCTTAGTATATTGTTTCCTTTTATACAGTATTATATCAGCTTTATTTCATGGCTACATTACATCAAAGAGGTAATGAGCTGAAAAGGGTCATGACAGAAGCAAAAAAATTAAAAGTGGTCAGCGATCTGTAAAATAGGATGTGTAAGTAATTCAAGACAAATTCAGGTTAATTAGTTTCAAGACAGCATACACGAGAACATAGCAACAGTTTTAAGTACTTCATAACCTATTACAAATAGAGAAATCAGGAAAGAAAATAATTCAGAAATCTCCTCTTTTGAATATATTCCGGTTACAAGGAAATGGAAGTCCTTGAACAGATTGCTTGGATGAATTATGGACAACCATTGCTAATGGATTCTGAGAGAAAACTGAACAAACATCTGCCCAAAAGGGCAAAATCCCAGAAAAGAAAATCTCCTTTAGATCTATTTCACGCTAATATTCAAAATTATGTGACTTCTTGCATATGAATGAACTTCCGAATCCAGGAGAAAACCTGATCAGCTT